AAATAAGTTTATAAATGAATAATATATGCATATCATTTCTAAAACAAATAATATTAAAAAACCATTAATCATATTATTATTACGATTATTACTGTTATTGTTTTTATTAATGGTTATTATTATCATTATTAATGCTACTAATAGTTATCATTACCATTATTAGTGCCATTAATGGTTATTATTATCATTATTAATGCTATTAATGGTTATTATTATCATTATTAATGCTATTAATGGTTATTATTATCATTATTAATGCTACTAATAGTTATCATTATCATTATTAGTGCCATTAATGGTTATTATTATCATTATTAATGCTATTAATGGTTATTCTTATCAATGCTAGCTTGCATTGTTTACGTAATAGTAAGCTAATTATATAATTTAATAATTAATAATGATAGCAATAATATTTTCATTTCTAATTTTTTTTTTTTTTTTTGCATAAATCATTTTCAAATATCAAAAAAAAAAAAAGAAATTAAAAGAAAGAGGAAAGAATGAGAAAAAGAATGCAAATATTGCTTATTTCATACGAATTGAGTTGAATTTGTTAACTGTAAGCTTATCATACTTAAAAAAAATTTTTATCATTCCAATCCAACAAGAAGAAAAAAAATTGTTCCATTACTTATCAGTGATATCTTCTCTTGCAATCATTCAATCAAAAAATCGTAATTTCTTTATAAATAACTTTGATAAAAAGAAAGAGAGAGAGAGAGAGAAAAGAAAACTATTATTTTTTTATTAGTGTTATATGCATTTATTTAATTTACTTTAGCATAATTTTAATATCAAAAAATTATCAAAAAAAAAAAAAAAAAAAATGATAGAAAGATAAGAAATTTTTATTTCAATTTTAAATGTATAATTATTTATACGTATTTTTTATTTCAATTTTAAATGTATAATTATTTATATGTATTTTTTATTTCAATTTTAAATGTATAATTATTTATATGCATTTTTTATTTCAATTTTAAATGTGTAATTCTTATATTGAAAGTATTTAATTTTTTTTTTGTAGAAATAATATAGTATTTTGCAAATTTCATCTCTTTTTTTTCATATCATTAATAAAACTAATTTTCGAATAAACAAAAAAAAAAATTTTTTTTTGTTTTTTTTTTCTAAAGAAAGAAAAAAAGATTTTTTAACTCCAAAATAAAAAGTGAAAAAAACTATACCAATCAATTTCAAATGATAAATGATGATTAATTAAATTTAAGCACAAAAAAAATTACATTCACTTATTTTATTCTTTTTTTTTAATTTTTTTTCTTCAACGATATTTTTGTTAACCTAACTAATTTTTTCTCATTTGTGAAACTTTTTTTTATTACCAATTTTTTTTTTTTTTTTTTTTTTACTTGAAAAATTAAAGAAAATGAAAAATTTGAGCGAAATATATAACTTTTTGAATTTTTTTTTTTTTAAAAAAAAAGGGAGGAAAAAAATGAAATGAATTTGTGATTATTTTTTGAAGTAGAAAATTTGTAATTTATATATGATTGATTAAATGCACATTTATTTGAAATATTTTTTTTTTTTTTTTTTTTGTTATTCGATTAAATAAATTTAAAATTTAATTATTATAAATGCAAGAAGAAAAATAAAAATTTTTTTTGAATGATTAAATTTTCTTCTTTTCCTTTTCATTGCTTATCAATGAATTATTTATTGACATTAACGTTCATTTTTTTATCAAAAAAAATTTTTTTTTTCTCCAAGTTTTTTTAATTAAAATAATACAGAAAATTCGTACTAAACTACTTTTATTATTTTCGAATATTTGAATTAATTTTTATATTTGGGAAAAAAAAATTATAAAATTTCAATAGACTAAAAAATTTATTACACCAAAATATGAAATATGAATAATTTATTTTTTCCTTTATTATAATCACAATAACAACAACTTAAAAAGCAAAAAAGTTTTGAATACTCAAATTTATTTAGATTATTGCTAATAAAATAAAATTTTAACTTTAATATATTTTTTTTTTAATTTTCACAAACATAGTATACTTGATTTTAGGTAATATCTTATTATTATTCATCAGTTTTATTTGATTTTTACATTTTAATATATTGTAATTCCTATTTTAAATTCTTTTAAAAAATAAGTTCATTAATATCTATTAGAATTTAAATAATATAATATTTGTTAATATATTTTTTTTTATTAATATCAATGTGATAATTATTTATTTTTTTCTCAATTATAATTCTTTTCAAGTGTTATTGAAATATCTTAATTTTGTTTTTCCTTATCAATTTACGTCGATAATTTTAGCCATCATAGATTAATCTGATCAAATAAAATTTATAAAAACTGGTTCATTGTTCTACCAATTAAAATTTATGATGCATAAACATTTTAATGTTAAAAATTTTTATGATTCTACAAATATTTTTAGTATTAAACGACTCAAAAATAAGATATTATCATTGCATTAAAAATATTTATCACTTTTACTAACAATAAATTATTATTATTTTACTTTTATTAAACTATTTATTGGCAATATTAAATTATCATTATTTTATTTTTATTAAGCTAATTATTGGCAATGTTAAATTATTATTATTATTTTACTTTTATTAAGCTAATTATTGGCAATGTTAAATTATTATTATTATTTTACTTTTATTAAGCTAATTATTGGCAATATTAAATTATTATTATTATTTTACTTTTATTAAGCTAATTATTGGCAATGTTAAATTATTATTAACATTTTTTTTTTTCTTCTTTTTTGCTTCATTTAATCATTTTCTTTTTATTTACTTACAAATACATTCCATTTACATTATTAAACATGTCATTCCAAAATTAATTCATTAATTTTCTTATCAATCACATTGATAAGAAAATTAAGTTAATAATGCTGTTTAATTTCATCAAATTATAGTAATAAAATGATAGAATGCTTATCAGACTAACTTACCATTTAAAGTATTTATCAGTTCAATCATTTAATCATTTGCTCATTCATTCATTCATTCACTGTTTTAAGTAATTTGTGCAAAAAAAAAAAAAAAAAATTATTACTTTTCTTTTTTCTTTTTTAAAATCTATGAAAATGGTTTTTTTCAAAAAAAAAAAAAAAAAAAAAAAAAATGGAAAAAAGGAAATATTTAAAAAATGAAACAAAAAAAAAAAAAAAAATTGTTTATTATTATCATTGCTAAAATGATTTCTTTTGATAAAAAAGAGAAGAAAAAATTATTGCATTTTTCTGTTTTTTTCTTTTTTGAAAAAAATTTTTTTGAATAATAGCAAAATTTGTTTTTTGATTTCATTTTTTTTTTCCTTTTTTGCTTGATTCTTTAAAAAAATAAAAGACAATCATCAATTTTAATTGAATAATAACATGCAACGATTTAATTAATTAATTAATTAATTGTTAAATTTTCAAATTTGATGGATGAATTTGATCTTTTAGCATTTCATTGTAAATGGTATTATTAATATTACTACATACAAAAAAAAAAAAAAAAATGGATAAAAATTACTCATTAATTAATTAATAATTTCATTATATATTGTTAATTATGATTGTACTAAATAAAAAAACTTTTTTTTTTATATTTCAAAGAAAAAATCTAATGAATTTCTAATTAATGAATTAAATTAATTGAATTAATGAGTTAAATTAATGATTAAAGTTTTTTTTTTTCAATTTTTACCTCAGTTTTATCTTATTTATTTGTTAAATTTTTATTTTTTGATTTAAATTTTTATTTATTTGTCTTATTTTTGCACATAAATGTTTTTATTGTTTACTGTAATTTGAATATTTTCTTTATTCCTATAAATTTCATTAAATTTTCATGAAAGAAAAAGAAGAAAAGATTGAAAAATATTTTATAAATTCTTTCTTTCTGTAACTTTTTGCCTCTGCTAAACTTTTTTTTTTTTTTTGGTTTTATTTTCAAATTGAAATCACATAAAAACTATTTTTATGCTTAAATACAAATAAATTCATTTCATTAAAATTTCAAAAACATTTCAATTGCATGCAATTTTTGTTGTCAGTAAAAAAAAAAAAAACATTTTTTTTCCTTCTTTTTCCTTTTTTTTTTTTGTCTTAAAATGTTTTCATATTTTCATAAAGATGAAAATGCAAAAGTTTTAATGTTTTTTTTTTTTTTTTTTCAAAATGTTTTAAAATTATTTTATAATTGTATGAATTTTTTTTTTTTTGAAGAAGAAGAAGAAAGGGCAAAAGAAATGAAATGGAAAAAAAAAAGTTTTTTGATGATTAAGTATTATTATCAAATATAATCATATGTTTGAAGTATATATTTTTATATTTTAAAAAATTTTATATATTTTTTTTCTATTTCTCTTTTTCTTCTAAATTTATTATGTAATCCGGTTTTTCCTCCATTTTTCATTTTTGTTAATTGCTTCACAAAAATTAAATAATTTTTGTGAAGCAATTATTCATTTGGAGAAAAAAAAAAAAGAAAATTTTTATTTTGAAATGATAAGAATGTTATTAATGATTAGTTGATAAGGAATGAATTGGAGGTGTTAATGTGATAAATGAGATATGATTAGAAGTGTTAATAGGACAGAAAATAGGATAAAAATTTATGATTTTATTAGTTATTATGCAAAAAGAAGAAAAAAAAAATTTTAACAAAATTAGTTGTTCAAATGAGAGAGATTTTTTCCTACGATTTGCAAAAAAATATGCAAAAATATATCAAATAATTTATCATATTTTTTTTTTTTTAAATTATTAATATTGTCATGGTGATAAGCAAAATTTATTAAATAGCATTAATTATTATTTTTTAAAAATAATTTTTAAATTTATGAATTAACCGCATTTAACATTATCAAACGTTTAATAGTTCATTTGTTAGAATTTTTAGAATTGAAAATGTTAGAAAATGATTTTAGTTTTTTTCTTTTTCAAAAAAATTAAATGATTATTTAATTTCATTAATTTTTAGATTTCAAATTTTTGAAGTGAAACATAATGGTTGTTCGAGAAGCACCAGGACATGGCTTAGGATGGATCGTTGCAGCATTCTTTATCGTTGCTGATATGGTTGGTGGCGGAATTGTCGCAATGCCTGTTGCATTTCTTGAAACAGGTAAATCATAAAATGAAAGAGAAAATAATATAATATTTGATTTTTTTTTTTTTAGCTTTGCTTTTTTCAATTGTTTTGTCAAATGGTCTATCATTTTTTTTCTTTTATTTTTACTCCTATTTTTTTTTTTTTTTTTGAGATCATAAAAATGGGAACGAAAACTTAGGTTCGAGATGGAAGTTCAAGTCTAGGCCAGAAATGAAAGCCTAGACTTGAAAAAGTTAATTTTGCTAAGCCTTTTCTAGGGAAATAATTTATAGTTACAACAAAAAGAAAAAAAATGTTTATTATTAAATGATCAAATGAATTATCATATTGATTTTTTCATGATTTCTCATTTAAATTATTTTAGTACAAAAAAAAAAAGATTTGCTTTTAGGTTGACAAAGTTAGATTGAAATTTTTTTTTTAAATAAAATAATCTATTTATAGTTTTTCTTTTTTTTTTTTTTTTTTAAATCTGCTAACATATAATTTTAAATGAAATATTTTGAAATTAAATTTCACATTCATATTGTATTTTAATTTTGTTACTTATTTAATTAGAATACTTTTATAATAAAAAAAAAAAACCAAAAAAATCTTTTTTGTAAATATTTATTCAATAATTAATTTTAATTTTTAGAAATTTTATAAATATAAAATAAAAAAAAAAATTTTTTTGCAAAATATTAGTTAGAAATATTTATTTTTAGGACTTATTGTTGGTATTACATTTATGGTTGTGATAACAATATTCTTTGCATATACGGCACATTTACTTAGTGAAAATTGGATTATTATGCAGCAACGTTGGCCAATTTATCAAAATCATTGTCGTAAACCGTATCCTGAAATGGCAATGAGAAGTATGGGTAAAACAATGAAGTAATCATTTCAAATTTCATTTCTTTTTTAATTACCTTTTTTTTTTTTTTTTTAAATTATCTTTAATTATCTTCTTTTTTCATATTTTATCCTGTTATAATAATAATATAATAATGATAATTTAATAATAATACTAGTTTCAATTATATTTTCAACATTATTATTACAATAATATTATTATTATTATCACTACTCTTATCATTATTATTATTATTACTAGTAACACTATTATTATCATTATTATCATTACCACTTATTACAGTTCCTATTATTTACTGTTGTTATTTATTATCATTATAGCTATTACTATTTATCGTTACTGTTATCATCATATTATTATTATCATCACTTGTTACAGTCCCTATTGCATTTACTGTTACCATTATTATTATTATTATTATTATTATTATTATTATTATTATTATTATTGTTACTACTATTTTTTTTAACATTTTCTAATATTTGATTAATTCAGAAAAAATTTTCAGGACAATTGCTGCTCGTATTGTTTATTTGACAATGTTTGGTACATCAGTCGTATTCATACTACTTTCATCCAAAATTTTTCAACATTTTTTAGCATCATTTTTTGGTGTTAATATTAGCCTTTGTTATTTAATATGTGTTACAACCATTGCTATTATGCCACTTACATATCTGAAATCACCAGCTGATTTTTGGTAATATACAAAGATAATAATTATTATAATTTGTTTTTGTTGAATTAATTAATCAATTAATTAACTCTTATCATAACATTATCAGTTATGAATTCTGTAAGTTCAATTCTAATTAAAATAATGATAATTAAATTTTTTTTTTTCAGTTCATTTCATTTCAGGTTAGCAATTGTAATTGCAATGTTATGTACCGTTTTGGCCGTTTTATTGATTGCTTTAGGTATTAGCTTTGATATAAGCTCATGCATACCTGAAGCGCATTATCCGAAAGCTTCAATTAGTGGCGCAGTTGTCAGCTTAGGTACTTTTTTGTTTGCATTTAGTGGTCATCAGGTATTTCCAACAATTCAACATGATATGTATCGTCCTATTGATTTCTCCAAATCAATCATTCTTGGCTTCTGTAGTAAGTTTATTTATTTATTTTTTTCAACTCTTCCTTTCTAAGGAAAAAATAAATTATATTAGAAAAGATTATTCAAAAAAAAAAAAAAAAAATGAAGCAAAAGTACACAGTAAAACTTAATTGAATAATTGTAATTCAATTTTTCAAAAAAAAAAAAAAAAACAAAAACAAAAATTTAACACAAATAAAAAAGAAGCAAAAAAAAAAAAAATAAATAAATAAACAGTGAAATTTAATTTAATAATTGTAATTTAATTTTTCAAAAAAACAAAACAAAACGATAAACAAAAAAAAAACACATAAAATATAATAAAATTTTATTTTATTTTTATTAAATTAACTGAAATTATGCTAACTATTGAAGATATAATTAAATTTTAAATTAAAAAAAATATATTAACAATTATTTTTCTTTTTGAACTACTTCATAACCACAAACTATTTTACCCCAACCACTGAGCGTACGTGATGTAACGTGAAAAGTTTTGACTTACACATCCATGGAAATATGTTCATATGGACACAATTTCGAGTGCAAAACTGTAAAAACTAATCAAACTATTCTTTTCTAAGGAAAATCATCATTTAAAAAAAAAAAAACGAAACTATCTTTTTTTTTTTTTAAATAATTTAATTTTCTAAATATAAAATAATAATTTTAATTTTTTTTTTCTAATTATTGCAGTTGTTACCTTCCTATATATGCCATTATCAATTTATGGTTACTTAACTTATGGTAGTAGCATGCATAGTTCAATAATTGATTCTGTACAAACACCATGGATCAGGCATACAGCTAATTTAACCATCGCAATTCATTGTATTCTTGCGCTAATTATTATGGTTAATCCATTAAATCAACAAGCTGAACATTTCTTTAATGCACCACATTGTTAGCTTCTTTTTTTTTAATTTTAATTTTTAAAAATTTGAAAAAAAGAGCAAAAAAAAAAAAAAAAATGTAAATTTTTGATTTAAATTTAAAAATTATACAAGTATTATGTATCGTTCTTTTTTTCTTTTTTTGCTTTAAAAAGAAAAGATTCATTTTATTTATTTTAATTTATATTTGAATTGGTTTTTTTTTTCTTTATTATCAATTCTATTTATGTATTTCTTTTTTTTGAATATTAAATATTGAATTGTTTAATTAATTATAGTAGCTATTATTATGTAAATTTCTGGTCTATATTTTTGCTTTCTGTTTCCATAATTCAAAATATTTTTTAATTAATTTAATTTTTCTTTTTCTTTCTTTTTTTTTTAAAGCATTTAGAATATAACGTAAATAAATACGTATCGGTACGATATTATTTTGAGCTATAACAATAATTTTATAATTTAAAATATTTTTAATACAATTTGTTATTTTATTTTTATTATTATCTTTTATATTTTCTTTCATTTTATTTTTATTTTTATTTTTATTTTTTTTTTTTTAAAGCATTTGGAATACAACGTATACTAATACGTACGGGCGTACTTGGTACGATATTATTTTGCGCTCTAACCATACCTGATTTTGGACCATTTATGAATTTAGTTGGTGCATTAACAAATCCACCAACATGTGTGGTACTACCAGCATTAACAAATTTATACCTTAATGCGATGTGTATTGATGAAAAAATTCGTGATTATAAAATACCAACATTTCCGGAGTAAGTTATTCCGGAGCTCTAAACAAATTACTAATTCTTAATTAATAGAATTTAAAAGAAAAAAAAATTAAGCTGATTCTTTTTTTGAAAAAGGAAAAAAACGAATGTTTTGAAATTATTAATTTATTCAATGAAATAAATTTCAGTATCATTTGAATTGAAAAAAAAAAAATAATTTATAATTTATTCATAATCCAAAAAAAAAGACACATTTTGAAATTATTAATTTATTCGATTGAATAAATTTTATTTGAAATTGAAAAAGTAATTTGTGATTTTTTTTTTCTATAAATAATTTTTACAGAGTAATACGACGAACTGCTACAAAAAAATTACTTTGGAATGGTTTTATTATTGGTATGAATTTGTATTTTGTTTTTTTATTTCCCATAAAATAAATTGAAGAAAGATTTTTAAAAAAAACTTTTAGTAATTTTTAAGCAAATAAAAAAATTACAAGTGCATAGATATATAAATATTTAATATTTGCATATTTTTTAAAATATTTATTCATTATATCAATTAAAATTATAAAAAGTTTTTTGCGTACATTTTTTTTTTCTTTTACATAAATTTTCTTAAATATACGAATGAATGTTTTTTATTTTGCTTTTTTTTTAAAATTTTTTTCAGTCTTTTTTTAGAAAAAAAAAAACGAATAAAAATAAAACAAAGACTATTTAATTTATAATATAATAGTTGAAAGGATAAAGTTGCAATATTTCTCGATTAATTTATAAATTTCATTCTTCATAAATTTAGGTCAGCGTAACAATAATTAGTGATAACCATATATTCTATATAATTAAATGATTTCATCATTTATTGACCTTAATTTACATTTCAATTAATGATACATTTTTAGAATTTGTTTGTTAAATTTAGTCATAGTTAAATTTTGAAATTAAATTAACTAATCATTTGATAGTTAATTTAATTTAAAACTTGAAATGACAATTTGATAACATATATAATTTAATACATGGATGACTCATTTCATTTTGCTATTTTCTTTTTTTTTTTTTTTTTTTTGCTAATTTAGTCATACTTTAATTAAATAATGATAAGATGATAAATGAATAATTTTAAATGATAATTTGATAAAATATATTTTTTCATTAATATAATTAGTCATGCTTTAATTAAATAATGATAAGATGATAAATGAATAATTTTAAATGATAATTTGATAAAACATATTTTTTCATTAATATAATTAGTCTTGCTTTAATTAAATAATGATAAGATGATAAATGGATAATTTTAAATGATAATTTGATAATATATATATAATTTAATTTCAGTGGTTGCGTTAGTAGCTGGTATTGTAAGTGCTTATTTAGCAATACAAGAAATTTTAACCGTTCATTTTACGCCACCGTGCTATCTTCGTTCATTTTTTGCGCAATCGGATGCTATCTTACATAATGAAAAAATTAATTGTTGTGGAATGGAGGAAAATATTTATATTTTTGGTAATGCTACCGAAATGTGTCAACGATCGATGCAAATATTGTCATAATAATATTACTGTGATAATATTATCATAGTACTACTCTTATAATGATATGTTATCATATTAATTAACAGAGTAAATGATATACTTATTTGTATATGCACATGTATCTATCCATTAAAAGAAATAATAATAATTCTGTATTTAAAATTTTTCATCGCTAAGTACAACAAAAAAAGAAAAAAAAAATTATTAAAAAAAATTTTATCATTTATCATTTTTGCATTTTCGCATCAGAATATTATCAATTATTCTTTTTGGAAAAAAAAAAAATTTTAAGAATATATTACTAACAATTAATTGATTAGTAATAAAAAATTTCATCTTTCAATGAATCTTATTTTTTTTTTTGCTTTTTGCTTAAACAAAAAAAAAATTTAATTTTTCGTACAAAAAAAAAAAAAATTTAATTTTTCATACATTTATTTGTTATTAGTTTACGTTTTTTTTTTTTAAATTTTATAAATCTATTATTGCTGTTCCAATAGAATATGATTTTGTAATTCTATCCTTTGTTTATTACTTTTACTGTTTTAATAAAAAAATATTTTCGACAAATTTGAATTTTGTAATGTCAATTTGTAAACCCATATATTAAAACTTAAAATTTAGCTGATTAATTAGCTAAGTAATGCATTACTATACTAAATATCGGAATTAAAATTATGTACTTCATATTTGGAAATTGATAAAGAAGAATGGAAGTAAATGAAATTTAAATTGCTGACTAATTAATATAAATTTAATTGTTAAATGTAATATAAAAAAATTACAAAATTTTGTAGTTTACATATCTGAATGCAACAATCCATATGAGTCATTTAATCAGTTATGTAAAAACTCAATTTTTTCCTTTTGTTCAAAATAATTTCTCTTTGAAATGTAAATATTAAAATTTGAAAATTTGGTAGTTTGTTACTCTGACATATTTCATGCATATTATTATCTTAATATTTTATGACACATGTTAATAATAATAATAATAATAATAATAATAATAATAATAATAATAATAGCAACAGTAACAACAAGAATAACAAATTATTAATTAATCAAAACTGTGTAATTTAAAGTACTATTAATAAATTTTCAGTATTTAATTAATTTTTTATTAGTTTTATGTTATTATTATTAATTCCTCGGCTAATATTTATTCATAGAAATTTTTAGTTATTACATTGTATTATCATATAAATTACAACTTATGCTTTGTTAAAATTAATTAATGCAAACGTAAGGTTATTTTAATTTTCTGAAAATACCTGAAAACGAAAGAAAAAAGCAAATTATGATTTCAGTTATATGTTGTATAAATAAAAGTAATACAAATAAAATATTGGAAAAAAAACAAAAAAAAAGAAAAGAATGATGGATTATCACAATGAAAAGAAAAAAATACCAAAAAAAAAAAAAATAATAATTCATTCTTATATTTTACTGAAAGACAAAAAATTTGAATTGAAAATGTTACCAATAAGATTAAAAATGGATTTAAAAAAATAAATTAAAAAAAAAAAGCTGAGAAGGTATTTTATCCAAAATTTGCAAATTTTTCATTATTTCAATATATCAATTAAATTTTATAACAAATTACTAATTGTTGAAACGAATTGATTATCAATTATGTATTTTGCACTAATATGTATTTTTTTTTTTTTTTTGGATAAAATTTCAAAAAAAAAAGAAAAAATGAGAAAAAATTATGAATATATATTGTAAGGAAATTTGAATATATGCAAAATTTTTTTTAATTTATTGTTTTTTATTATCATTATTGTCAGCATTATCGTTAATAATTGCAATTTTTTTCCACTATACTCGTAAATCTTCATACGATGGGCGGCCTTGTCCAATATTTTCCGCTTTATGACTTCTTGATGCACTTTCATCAGGACTTATTGCATTTGTAGTAGATGTACCCGATGATAAGCTATCATCCCAGTCATATTTCATTGTTAGCACAATGCCATTTTCTTCTGCGATCTAAGAAGAAGAAAAAAAAAAAAGTTTTTTAAATTTTATATATTTTTTTTTTCTTTGCACAATATGAATTTTTATGTCTTTTTTTCTTATTTACTTTATTATATTTTCATCTCTTTGTTTACTTATTTGCTCCTTATAATTTCATTTTGTATTAATAATTAGGCAATTATTTACATTTGCTTTCAAAAAAGAAATAAAAAATTATATATAATAATTTCATATTCTATTTTGTTTATTTTTATTTTTCTTATAATCATTTTAACTTTTTTTTCATTTCTTCACTATAATAAAAGAAAAATTATTTCATAATTTCAGTATTATATACAATATTGTAATTTATTAAAAAAAAAAAAAAAAAAAACGATAGAAATTTTTTTTAAGCAAATAAAATAAATTTTTTCTTTTTTAAAAAAATTAATACTTTATTGAGAATATTATAAAGAATAGCATATGGTGGTGTTTCGCCAAATTGTAATTTATCAATAATTTGCAAAATTTGATCATATTGAAGTGGACATTTTTCAAAAAATGTTTGTTTTGTTATTGTACGAGCATCTTCTTTAGCTTTTTGTACAAGTGAACGATCTAAAAAACAAAAAATGCAAAAAATAAATAAATAAATAAACAAAATTTTTTTAATAATTCATTTTAATTTTATTGTTTTTTTTTTTAAAAATATATATTAAATCTTTATCTAAATTTAAATTTTTTTGTGAAATTTTTATGTAATTTGAAAATTTGATGATATTAGCACAAAAGAAGAAAAAAGAGAGAAACATAAATAAAATACTGTTTAATAATACCAGTAATAAAACGCCATGGAAGTGATCCTTTAGTAAGTTCAACAATCATATATAACCATGATTCAAGGTCATCACGTCGTGATAAATCTTGTCGATGATGCGCATTTAATGAACCATAACGTGTTGTACCACGCCAACCCATTTCACCACGTGATGGTAACACATCAAAATTCTACAAATTATTCGCATTGATTATAATTATTTTTTTGTAAATTTTATTTTTTAAAAATTTTTTTTAAAAAGTATTTTAAATTTATTGTTGATTAATTTGTAAAGATATAAAGGAAAACCAAAAAATTCACTTTCTAATCAATTTATATTCTATTTTTCTTTTTCCTTTTTTGTTTTTTTTTAATAATTGTTAAAAAGAAAAAAAATTAGAATTAAAAACTGTTTAATTTATCATTACGTCATCCATTTTTTTTTTTTTTAATAATGATCATTTGTAAAATATTGGAGATTAATTGCTGTTTACAATTGAGTAGATTATTCAGAATCCACGAATTAAAAATTTTCAATTTCTTTCCTTTACTGCAATATTACTACGGTATTTCATATTCATGATATTACTGTAACTCCTTATTACTGTAGTTCCCACCACAGTCATCTATCTTCATTCCATACTCTGATAATATTATTATAGCACCTTACTCTCGTATTACTATAATTCCTACTCTAATTATCTTCATAATATCACAATATTTCCTTATTCTTATGATATTCCACAACTCCTTATCCTCATGATATTACCATAGTTCATTATTCTCATGATACTACTGTAGTTCCTCCTTCACATGATAATATCATGATATTACTCCAATTCCTTATGCTCATGATATTACTATAACTCCTTATTTTCATGACATTACTGTAGTTCCTTCTTCTCGTGATGTTACTGTAGTTCCTTCTTCTCATGATATTATGATATTACTGTAATTCCTTATCCTCATGATATTACCATACCCCTTATTTTTCTTTTTTTCACTTTATCAAACAATTTTTTTCTTATGAAATTAGTATAGTTTTTTTTTTTTTTTTTTTTTTTTTAATTTGTGATATTATAATAGTTTTTTTTTTTTGCAATGAATAAAGCACTATAATTACAAACTTGATCGACATAACGTCTTGCAAGGCCAAAATCAAATATGAAAATGTAATGATGTTGATGATCAGTCTTATTGCCAATTGCAAAATTGCCTGGTTTAATATCACGTGAGAGAAAACCACATTGATGTAATTCTTCGATAGCATTTAATGTTTGTATTGCTATTTGAGTTGATGTTGCTGCAGTTAATTTTTTATTTATAAAAAAAAAAAAACAAATTTTTATAAAATTTAAATTTCATAGGCTTTTTTTTCTGGATTTAAATACACTATTCTTTTTATTACTATCATTATTCTTATTATATGCAATTCAAATAGAAAAATAGAAAAGTATAATTCTGTAAAAAAAGAAACTAGCAAAAATTTTTTTTAAAAAAAAAACTGGAAAAATAGAATTAAAATTTTATAAAGTCAATACAGCAGGAAAATTACACAAATTTTCAAACATTTTTCATTTTCATTCTTTTTTTTTTGAAAGTTAAGAAAAAAGTATGTTTAATCAATCAAAAAGATAAAATAATTAAATGTTTCAATTGAGTGCTTTTTTTTTTTCTTTCATTTATTTGAATAAATAAAAAAAAAAAAAAGAAGGAAAAAAAAAGGCTAAAATTAAAGCGTACGAAGTGTAAAATGTCGGTCAGGTTGACGATTGCGCAACCTATTTAGATCTGGTCCAAGCAATGACATTACAACAAACATAAATTCCTGTTTCACATGACCCTACAAATGCTAAATAAAAAATTTAGTTGTAAAATTTAAATTAGAATAACTGCTATTAATTTATAGTATATGCTATTAATAAATTTTCAATCAGTTTTGTCAAACATTATTTTTGATGTAAAATTGATTGAATACCAGTGATAATAAAATGTTGATTATTTATTTATTTTATACTGCCCAAACTAAAAAAAATTAAATTGTGTTTAGTAAATTTTTTTATAATAATATTCCTTTTCTTTTTTTTTTTTTAAACTTTTTTTTTTTTTAATTAAAATAAAAGCATACATAATCGTACATCCTACAGATATGCTTACAATGTCGTTGATTTGCTACACGTAATACACCAATTTCAACTTTTAATACCGTTTTGCTGAATTTTTCAGCTTTTAATGCCATCGATCTGTAAAATTTATTTGCTTCATTTTATAATATGCAAAGAATAGTGATAATGAATTAGTACAAAAAAATGTTATTAATAATTAAATTATTAATTATTGACTAAATATGGAGAAGAATTAGGATATTGATAATTTTTTTTTTTTTTTAATATATGATTGAATTTTCTTTTTTATACTTTATCACCAATTTTCATCATTAATCATTTGTTCATAATTTTATAACTAATTGAATTTTGCTTCCACTTATATTTACATTTAATATTTATTTATGATAAGAAAATAAACGCTAAATTTAAAAAAAAAAAAAAAAAAAAATTTTAATGAAATTTATTTGTAATTTTGCATATGAATGAATTTCTTTTTTTATAATTTAATTATTGCTTTAAAAAAAAAGCAAGGAAATTTACTTACTTTTTATCATTCTCACATCTTGCCAAGAAAACACTTCCATAGCCACCCTCACCAATAACTGATATTAATTTGTATGCCTTATTTCGAGCTGATAATACAATATCATCAATAGAAGGTAATCGATCATTATCTGAGGTTATTTGTTCCTTATCCATTTGTAATTAAATTTTACTTCCACTTAAATTTCATTCATACACTTTGACAACATTTCAAAATGTAACAGAAATTGATTACACAATTTTTTATGTACTCTTAAAAAATGATCACATTTACTACATTTTTTCTTTTATTTGAATCATATTAAAATTAAATTTGCATATATGTATATTTATTTATATTTACAGCAATCATATGCAAATTATTTTTTTTTTTTTTGCAAATGTTACACATTTCAAAACTATTTCCCAAATAATGAAAATTAAAAAAAAAAAAATATTTTTGTAAATAATATCATACTTTGAAAAGATTATCATGTATTTGCATTTATATATTGCAAATATTTTTGCGTGCAAATATTTGTGCAAATTTTGCTCATCTAATTAATTACAGAAATAATCATAAATTACAGAAAAAAAAGTAATCATAATCGTAAACTCATTCTATTTTAATTAATTACTAGAGTTCGGAACTGAATGTTTAAAATTTATCATAATTTCTTATTGCAATTATTACAGATATTAAAAATTTTAATCGCTATCTGTTAATACAAATTTTATTATCACAAATAATATTTGGATTATGCATCGAAAAAGTAATATAATTATTCCTAAATGTTTATATGTGCAATATTTAGCATTCAGTAAGAATTAGATAATTAAGATTTTATTATTATTTGTCGATATATGCGTGTATTTTCTATTTTATTCATTTATTTATACTTAATTATTTGTTTATTTATTATTCTACTTATTTATTTATTTAAGTAATATAGTTTAGTTTTAGCATTTATTTTTAGATGACGAATTAAAGCTGCTTTTTTAGAAAAAACAAAAAACAAAAAACAAAGAAAAAGAAATAAAGCCCTTCTTTCTTATTTCATTTTAAATTAATGCATAGATTTTTTTCTCTTTTTTTTTGAATGAAGTAACAATATTTTTGGTTGAAAAATTTAATAACTTATACTTTCATCATTAAAAGTTTTTATAATTTAATAAATTATACTTTTAAAAGTATAATTTATATTTAAAAGCATCTTTTAATGACTAATTATATTCCGACATATTTTAACTGCTAAGTGTTACATTAATTAATCAATTAATTTATTTATTCCTTTTAATTATATGAGAAAGATAAATAAATGTAAAAGTATTCAAACGATTAATTACAATGATAAATAGTTAAATTTGAATTTATAATGCATTTTATTTACACTTTAATATAATACATTATTGAGAAAAATGAAATTAGGAGAAAATGTCAAAACTAATATATTATCACACTAATTAAAAAAAAAAAACGAAGAACTGTTACAAAATTAATAATTTTTTCTTTTGAACCCCTTCTTTTTTTTTTTTTCTTTTAAATTAATAAATCTTATTTTACTGCTCTCCCATTATTTTATCATTTTTGAAAAAGTTTTACCTGTGTTTTAGGATACATTAACGGAAAATGTTACACCTTATTTGTCCTCATTTTACATTAAAATTTTTACAAGATATGGTTCATGTAGAATGAAAAAAAAAACCACAAAAAAGGAAAAGGCAGAAAAAAAATCGAAAAAAATAATTTAAATGGATCAAAACTGGATCATTTCATTAATTTTACATTGCTGTTTTTTTCATACTTTGTGATTTTTTACTTTTATTTTTAAAATAAGTAGTACTAAGTACCATGAAGTACTGCGAAGTACCTGATTCATTGTTTTATTTAGTCTCATCAATTCATTATCCATTAAAACTTGTTTATACTACTACAAAAACTGTATGTTATGGAGGTAATTTGACCAGTTTGTAGTTTTTTTTTTTTTTAATAAATTTTTATTTAAAAACAATTTTCACACTTTATTGCAAATTTTCATTTCTTCTTATTTCTTTTCTTATTTCGCCGTTCAATTTAATTCTTATTGTCTTATTTTGCAGTAATATTTTGCGTTAATTTCATTTGCAAATTTTTATTTTAATAATTTATTCACCAAAATTCTTAGTTTTTTATTTCCATTACTTTTGTGAATTTTTTCTTTTTGTAAAATAATTGTGCAAAAATAAGAAAACAAATTGTTATGTGTCATTTAGCATTATTTAATAATTTAAAGCAAAAAAAAAAAAAAAAAAAAATTGAAAAGAAGTGGGAAAAAAATGATGATAATTAAAATTTAAAATTGCTGAATGAAATTTTTCTATAATTTCTATTTTATCATTCTTTCTTTTTTTTTTTTTTTTTGCCAATTATTGTTAGCAATATTTATTAAACAGGTCTTTCAAATGAATCATCATAATTTTTAGAGTCGAACTATGCTATAACATTGAAATTCAATCATTTTATTTGATAAAACTTTTCAGCCTTATATAATCCATTTAATGCATATCTTTTTGCTAAAAAAAAAAGAAAAAAAGTATTTATTTTATCAAATTAAAATTAAAATTTTTCAAAACATAAGTTGTAATTTTTATAAATATGCAAATTTTTTTCCTCTAAAAAAAAACAAAAAGGAAAAAAGCGATATGTTTTTATGAAACTTTTAGACAAAATTCGTTTGATGTACGATTTCACCTGTGCAAAGTTTGCAAAATTGGATGTCCATTCTTCATTTTCAAAATATCTTATCGGACGACCCAGAAATCATTCACTAAATTATCAATAAATACCAATGCCAACTTCTATTAAAATCGAATAATATTTTACTATTATTAGAGCCTAATTTATTATTTATTTAATGATTAGAAAATTTTCTCTTTTTCTTATGCATTAAAACAAAATTTAAATTTAAATATTTATAGGAGAATTATGGCTAAAATAAAAGTAATTATAACTCAATTATGTTTATGTTTATTTAATTGAATGCATTTATTTTGTTTATCAAATGTATATTATTCATTTGGATGAAATAATTGCTAAATTATTTCTCATCTTTTTTTATTTTATTTATTTATTTATTTTTTTAAATTTCATTATCAAATTGGACAATGCCAATTGATCTTACGGAATTCACCGATGATACTAATAATGAAAAAGATTCAATATGTGAAATTATGGAATCAATTACGACAATCGATGAACAGAAGATAGGATATTGTAGATATGGTCGAGGAGAGCATAATATGTTATTTATTTGTGGTGGTGTTGGTAAGAAATTCATTTCTTTTTTTATTTATTTATTATTTACTTTGTTCGCTTTGTTTTTGTTTACTAAAGAATTAAATTTTTTTTTTTTTTGAAACTTTAATTGGTAAAGTTTGTTTTTTTTTTTCCTTTTTCTTTAAATATTAAAAGTACTCTGGTTTTCTTATTATATTTAGCCTTGATTAAATAAATTTGAGAAATGAATTTAAAAATACTAATGAATTATTGGTTTAGTTTTATTGTAAATTAATGAACTAAGTAATTAAGGAAATGACAACATTTTTTTTTTTTGTGGGATATTAATAGTTATAAATAATTGAGAGAGCGAAATTTGCAAAGTTTAAAGAGAAGCAAAAAAAGAAAAAAAAAAGCAATGAGTAATTTTAATTTCAGGTTGTTATAAGAAGGACTTTCCGGAAAAAGTATTAAATGCTTTTAATCCGAAGTTTTGTTCTATAGTTTGTATTGATCCACCTGGCTACGGTACCAGTCGTCCACCAAACAGGTATATTCATATCACATAACTCTTTTTTTTTTTTTTTTTTTAAGCAAATATTTGATGATAACCTGTTTAATAACTTAAATCTTAAAAACTATCGTTTTGATTAATTTACCATATAAAAACAAAATTTTTTTTTGCATTTTCAGCAAACTACAAATAATTGTGAAGAATTGATATTTTTATAAACTCAAAATTTTTCATTCATTTTTTTTTTTTTTTTAAGGCGACAAGAAGTGAATCGATGCATGAAAGATGCACCTTTCTGTATTAAACTTATGCAGGTTTTTTCATAAATTTTATTTGACTTTTTTAAAAAAAACTGCAATAATTATTTTATAAAATTGTCTCATAAAAAAAAATCAAAAATTTTGCATTAGAAAAATATTAGAAGACTAAAAATGAATTTTTTAATTTTGTAGTGCAATTTATTTTCCATTCTTTTATCACAAATATCACTGTGTGAAATATCATTAACAGATTTTATTGGTACTATAAAGGTTCACTGTTTAATTAAAATCAATAATTGAGTGAATTTATAAATATTATGTATTTATAAATGTAAATAATTATAAATAGAAATAATTAAAAATTGTAAATAATAAAAATTTGTTAAATTAGTATTTTTTCTGGAAAATTTTATTGAAATTTGAGTTTTATAATTTAATAAACGTTTACATTTTTTTTTTCTTTTTTTTTGATTATAGATAAATAATAATAAGCATTAAAATTCGATGTATTTTTCTTTTCTATTTTCAGCAATTAAATTTAACACCTTTCACAGTATTGGGTTGGAGTGAAGGTTGTCGCACAGCAATTCACGTAGCTGCACGTGGTAAACAACTTGTTAACAATATGATATTACTTTCTGCAGCTACACGTATTGATTCACGTGCTGCACGTGTCACTTATGGTATAAATTATCTTAGCTTTTCATTTTTTTTAGCTAAAATTTCTTCGTTATTTTCTTGGAAACTAATCAAATAATAATAATAATAATAATAATAATTTTATGTTTAAATGGAGGTCACAGTTAAATCTTTTTTTTTATTCACATTTTAATTTAATTAAATTTTTTTTTTCAAAACGGTTGATTGGAATATAAATTTTCAGGTATGCGTAATACAGATCAATGGTTACCGGATACTATGAAAGCATTTTTGCCTTATTATCCGGAAGAATTCGTAAAAAAACAATGGACAGATTTATGTAATGTAATTCAACAGTAAGTAATTTAGCGATAGTATTACTTATCAAAAATTAGAATTTATAAATTACGAATTTTTCTTTTATCTAAAAATGATAAAAATAGAATGTTTGCCTAAAGTAAAAATAAATAATAATGTTATGAATTGATTTTAAATAAATTCTTTTTTAACTTTCTCTTTCATCGACATATTTTTTTTTTTAAAAACTACTACTTTCATTTCAAATAACCATATTTATTCACCGTTAAACTGTAAAATTAATTCATAACATTATTATTTGAATAGTGATATTTGCTTTTTTTTTTTTTTTTTTTAATTTTCAGAGTTTATGATTTACTTGGTGGACGTTTTCCATCAGATTACATTCTACCAAGTTTAAAAATTCCTGTACTTGTTCTAAATGGTGGCATGGATAGATTTTGTAACGATCCGAAATATTTTGCAACCGTTATTCCCAATTGCAAGTATAATTTTTTTTTCTGCATTTAAAAAACTTAAAAATTTCCATTCCTTATACTAAAATATTGATATGCTATAATAATATTTAATGCTTCCATTTAAATTTTATTTATTATATTTATCATTTGTTTTTGTTTACATACTATAATTTGTCTTCAGCATATTACAATTTGTTTTTTAATTTATTTTTTTATTTGTTTTTATTCATTTCTTAATCAAACTGATTTATGCATACACAAAGAATTTCTCAGATTTATGGTCATTCTTTTTTTTAGACTTGATGGTCATTTTCTTGGTGGTCATGATTTTCACATTAAATATCCACGATGGTTCGCAGATCATGTTTCAACATTCCTTAAGGAATCCGGAAATCATTGTCCGACCAATTAATGCTAATGAAATTTAAATTTTAATTCGAGCACAATAAAATGGAATAAATTGTCTTTTTTCTTAGCTTTGATCTTTTGTTTATGTTTTTTTTTTTTTTTTTTTTCACTTTACTATCCTATTTAGTTTTCATCAACGAATAAAGTATAAATTATAATAACTTTATAAAACTACTTTAAAAATTATACATGGATGATCATTGATTTGCTTAAAAAATTTTCAATTCTCGAGCAAATTTCAGATTTTAATTAGTGCTTTTTGCGTTACAATTTGATAGATTTTTTTTTTGTTAATTTATAGTTTGAAACCTGGCAATAATAACTTGCTAACTGATATGATATGATATTATATCAGATATGCTGTAATATGATAGTTACTAAAACAACTTCCCTTTGTGTTATTTCATCAAAATTATTTATACTTTAGCGATTCCTTGCAAAGTTTTTTTTTTTTTGTATTTAACATATTTAGTTAAGTTTTATGTAAATAAATTTCATTCTTTTAATTTGTATTAAATTAAGCATTTAAATTTTGAAAATAACATATATGGCAAAGCGCTTAGTACACGCAATTGTTTATTACCAATTAAAATTATTTCTACCAAATGAATAAATGATATATGAAAAAAGAAAATGACAAATTACACATAATTGTTTTTTACAATCATATTAATAATAGCAAAATATGTGAATAATTAATACTTCAGATAAAAATTATCTTTTTAAAAACCAAAAAATAACAAATATTGATAACTTTTATTTTGATTTAATGATTTAATCCATAGTATTTGAAATTTCCTTCATTTTCTTGTAGATATCAGTGAATTATTATCAGTTATTGATATTGATAATAATGTTCCATACTTTAAATATCTTAGGAAAATCGAATAAATATATTTAATAGTAATAATCGGAATTGTATGTTGCATTAATAATGATGAGTTAAGCAAAATAATATCGACAAAAATTTTACGCTTAATTATTTAAGCCATTGGAAAGAACCATATTATCAGCTGCTAATTTAGCTGGTTGAAAATATGCAGCAAATTCTAAGAAAAAAAAATCCCTGAAATTTAAGTATAATCAAGATCACGTCTAATTATCAAATTCAATTCTCGAATTACTTATTATGCTTTATTAGCATAGCAATTTACTCAAGTAAAATATTTTAAGCTTGTAGATTCATTCTGATAAAATCATAAATTCAAACAATGATTATATTTTTTTTTTTTTTAGACATGTTGATCTTTGAAATGCTGATCTCTTAACTCCACGAATTGATCGTTTAAATGTTAATTTCTTAACTGCAAGAAGTAATGTTTTAAAATTCTACGAGCTCGATTGTTGCAGAGGAAATAAACAGTGGGTAATGCAGCATAAATGAAGATAATATAACAATTAATGAAAATTCTTAATGGAATAAGAGCTCTTTCACCAAATATTTTAATTATAAACGGTGGTAAAAAATAAAAAAGAATAAAATTCATTTCAAATATTCCACATGTCAATGCTGCTTGAATTAGCATAGATCGCTCATAACCACCATTTTTCGTCACATTCAGTTTACGTTTCATTGATATTACCAAGTCATCTAAATAATCTTAGCTAATTTAAAATGTACACTTGAAAACTTAAAATTTATGATGGAAATTTTCCGGAAACATTTTTTAATATATTTAAATATAAGCAAATGCGTACCTTGATTATAATGAATCTTTGATGCAAGTTGACGTTTACAACGTATACTGTAGAACATTACAATGTACATGATAAACATTGCAATTGGTGGAAATGATGACCATATGTAATGAACACTGAAAGTTTGTTAAATAAATTAGCAATGAAAATTTTTTCATTTTCCCTATACCTATTGTAATATGAAAATTTGTTGTTTACCAGATTTCATATGATATTTTAATGAATTAGTTAGTATTTTTTGGAGTAATACAAATACAAAAAGTTATAATTTGAAATTTCAAATTTTAATATTTATTAAAGCTAAAAGAATAAAACAACACATGAGGTTTAACCCCATAGATACTGAATTTGGCCGTTTTCTGCAATTCCTTATCCAGCACAGATTCGAAATGTGAAAGCTTTTAATGCAAAAATGAAAGTCAATAGTTGATAATACTGCAAATTTAATCTTCATTATAGATAATAAATGAATAAGTTTCACATTATATTTAATGCAGAATTTACTGGTAACAAAGTATTCAGAATGGATAAGTACAAATAAATTTTGATATTTATGAATTAATTTATAGCTGATAAAATTATATATACTTTCAACATCTAATGCTTATGATTTTTTGCCAGAACTTGATCTTAGTTACTGTAGCAAAATGAGATTATAAATTGTTATCAAAAATTAATTATTCTTAGAAATGCTTTATTATTTAAGAAATATCAATGAATCATATACCTAAAGTTGACAACCAAACGAGAATGATTAGAAAATATAATCTTGTTGATTCGAAAAATACACTGTATTTCGGTAAAACTAACACCACAAAACGATTCACTGTTAGTAGAAATGAAAAATTAAGTATAGCGAAAAGTGAAAAATTATTAAAAGATGAGAATGTATAATTAATCCATATTGTTTGATTCACTGCAAATGAAATTAATTTAAAAAAAATTTTTTAAATATTACAGTAGGATTAGTCTAGCTGTCATATATTTTAAAGCAGTACAAAAAAAAATTTTTGACATACCTTAAAGAGTTAACCATTGATGTAGACTTCTACACTGTAAATTTATTAGATACTGATGAAAATTCAAGTGTGTATTTTATCATAGCAAAATTTATCAGTGAGAAAAAACTCACTATCTGTTTTATTGGGCAAGAATAGCGGCAAGTTTTTGATTACTGATATCAATTAAAAGTTAATATCTTAAAAACTGTTTGCTGTTTGCCATTTTCAATCTTCTAAATAATTATCAATGATTAGGGAATAATATCTGGTTCCCTTCTTCTACATGATTATCAGTGAATGATAATGAATTAACAGTTAGGGAATGTTATCTGGAAGAGAGCGGAGAGATGAGATAAAAATAAAACAAACCGAATAGATTATTTTTAGTTCGTAATATCACTGGTAAAACAACAATCACTTGAAGAAGAAGTGCTGTAAAATTGCAAATGATTATCTGTGATGAGATAAGAATAAATTCACGACTGTAATGATTGTCTTGTCTGCGATAGAATACGATTGCCATCAATGTATTAATGATAAAACCGTAAACCAAGAGGACAATAAATAGCAAAAATGCTATGTATTTCGTAAATTTGTAATTCTCATCTCTTATGTTAGCTTCAGATGTCGTATTTCTTTCTTGACAGGTTGATGATAATACCAGCAGTAGTATAATTATACAGTAGGAATGTGCCATTTTATTAATCAGTAGTCTTTCCTATCAAGAATGAATTGAAATTCAATCATAAAACTTTAGCACAGTAGGAAGAGATGATTTTTAACTAGCTAATATATAAGCTGATGTTACAAATTGAGATTGAAATTCTGAAACAGATCGATTGTATAAAAATGTAATAATACTTAAAAGCAATTATAATTTGACTACAAAATGAATTTTTTTGTTTGAAATTGTCATTTTCAACATCATCTTCATTTTGTGGTACTTGCTGAATTTAATTTGAGAAACATAAAGTGACTTTTTCGTTTTAACTTGTTTAATTGATAATTGATAAGCATCTTTATTATGTAATGATCAACTATATGTGAGATATAAAGTAAAATAAATTTTAAAAAAATTTACGGTGGAAATTAAAATGACTAAGAAATTCACTGCTCTCATACTATTGAATCTTTTTAATATATAACTTACCAACAACATTGTAAAACAAGAGGAAAGTGAAAAGCAGAATTGTTTCATATTTTATAGCCTCCTGCATCTCGTCTATCATATCAAATACATTTGTCATTTTATTTCCTGATAAAGGATAATATCCGGAACAACACAATTATATAGCAAGAATTATACAATTATATAGTATATTGTATCACCTTATTAATCATTAATCTTTGTTTCCATCACAAACCTCAGTGATATGAGAACAAAGGAAATCAGCTGACTGAAATACAAACTAGTAAAAGTTGCGATTTATAATTTTAAAGTAGTAAATGCACACCGATGGGTACGGTATTTGTTTATGAAAAGATTGTAATTTGATTATGAAATGAGTTCTTTTCTTTCAATCTTTCAACCTTCATGAAACTCAATCTTTCAACCTTCATGAAAACTACAAATATTGCTATCGTCATTGCTTACATTAATAGCATCAAATGCTTTGAAGTTTTTGAGCTTTATTTTCAAGTTATGAATTCATTAATCAGTTAATTCAGTTTTTACGTCAATTATATTCTTTTGTGTAAAACTTTCTGAAGCAATCAACTAATTAAGGTAATATAAGCAAAATACATTGAAAACAATTAGCCAAATGCGATGTAAAAGAGGTAGTTAATTTGATGCTTAAAATAATATGTTTGAAAAGATTTTTGGTAATATCATTGAGAACTAAAATTTGACTGATTTATAAACCTGAAACCATTCCTGAAACATAACCATTCCTAATGCTATGAAATTGTTTCGTCCATATTTTCAATCTTTTAAATTAAAGCATACTATATGACTCTCTTCAAGCTTCTAGCATATATCATGATGATTGATCAATCTTTTTACGATAACTTATATGATTGAAAAAATATCAATTCAATTTCAATTTTGTCTTCTATTCATTATCGCTATTGATCCTTAATTAGGTTAAACTGTTTTGATAAATATATTTCAGATATTTATATAATAATACATCAGTGACATCAGATAAAAATTAAACTAATAAAACTGACTGAAATTAATCGCAATAAATCAAGATGTATCTCAAGCAGAGACTTAACGATTAATTAACTGATTTGCGTAATGATAAGTGATAACAGGAACTGAATGCTTCCCGTGTGTTATTGCATGTTACTATCATTCTTGCAATTTTGCTGGAATAGAAAGATAGATTAATGATCCTCTCTCTCTCTCTCTCTCTCTCCCTGCAAATCACATGATATTAAAGGAAGGACATTTATTGTAATATGAACCGGAGAGAAATGATGGAGGGAATGGGTAACGGAGAATTCCTTGAGAGAGTGATTGTTGTTGGAAAGAAGAAACAATCACTTCTAGATCATTCTAGTAGTTTTTTGGGAGATATTTGCAGATTATTTGTACATATATTTATTCGATATGTCACATGTATAGGTAAGACCATTTAGATCTTTTTCCTTTCTCACTATTTTTAAATGTTTTTAGAGTAACATAGTGATTTCAGGTTAGGAAATAGCTGGGATCACTGAAATATAATTATTGTGACAAGATAAAGTTGCATCAGAGAGATAGTTAATTTAGCATGCAAAACTTGTCATTGGATAAGCTCGTATCATTGTTTGTTTATGTTTTTTTTTTTTTCGATTCAATTTTAATAACTAACGTTTTACGAAGCCTTTTAAATGATGGAAGCACCGGAATTGAATCCATTAGCAATCAAACTATTTCGGAAAAAACTTACGTGTCAACGCTTATTCCATCAGGAAATGAGTTAAATGCGTATGAAATCCACTGCTAATAGTAATAATGATAACCGTACAGTAGTGCTAAGGTTCAGGAATGGTAGAAATCTTTAGCTGTTACTTGCCAATAGATCATTATTTAAACTCATATTTCTTATTGATTTTAAAAGCATTACATCAGGCTGGTAATTCCGGACTGCATCGTTTAATACATAGATCTGTTTTTATTACTACAAAAAAGCCATTTGATCAGTGTTTGATCTTTTAATTTTTGAATCTCTATTGATTATTTTGAATATGTTCATAAGAGGACAGCACATTGGATGAAAATATTGTATGCTAGTAGAACAAATTATCATAATGATTACATCTTAATTCCTCTAAATTGTTCATTACATGTCAGAGAGACAGTATCAAACGGGTATGATGAGCTCATATATGTAGGCGGAAAAATAGATATTGATAACAATTGTTATCTATTTCAATCAAAATTTCTACAAATCCTCCTCACAGGTATTACTAACAGTGTTGTTTCTTGAACATTACTAAAACTCTGAGAACCATTTTTGTGAATTTTCAAACCATATCACTTCTTAATCAAAAATAAAATTGTTACAAGTGCAAAAAATAAAACTGTGTCAACAGAAATCAGGACAGCTAGTTTCAGAAAATAACACTTCCTGTCATGACGATAAAAATAATGGAAAGGAAAGCAGATCCAAAATTCTTACAATTAATGTGTATAAAAAGAAAATTTGTGCATTAAATGGTGTGTCTTGATCTATACATGTCACATGTAGAATAAGAAATAAATGTTGAAATAAAAACTAAACTTTTCATATTCGTTCAGAACGAAAACAACAACTGGTAAATTCCGGGAATCCTCAGGTATCTCCCAGAAAACTAAAGGAATGATTTAGGATTGCTTTCTCGACTAACCAAAAAGAAAACGATTACAAGTACAGAACGAACCCTCCTTTCCAATAATCAATCATAAGATCAAGGAAGATCAAGAAATCTTCCATCTCCCCCTCCCTCCATTTATCTTCGGGTCACATTACAGTTAACTACTCTTCCTTCACAGAAATATGTAGGTAGTTGGTTGGCAGAAAGAGTGAGAATTAACTTATCTTTTCATTTCAGCAAAAACTGCAAAAATGAAAAGAACACGTGACAGGTACTTGGTTTCTGTCATCTTCTATTACATAAATTCAACACAAATGAGTTCATCCCACATTCA